CTACTAGGTAATATTGCACCTGGGCTTTTAAGTCAAGTGAGTTACTGTTTGCGGTTAAAGAAATAACTAGTTAAAAATTCTTGTAATTTTTGCTTAATTAATATCTCAATAAAACAGTAGCAGAACATACTGAAAAAAAAAAATAAAGTTTAATAAAATATAAAAATTAAATAATATAATCCAATAAATATAAAACTCAATAAGAAGAAATAAAGTCTAATAAATATAGATTAGGCCTAAAAATAAAAAAAATTTTGTGACTGCAGAAATATGTTAATAGAAACTTCTTGTTTAAATTTAAATAATTTGTAATAATCTAAAATAAATTAATAATTTTAATTAAATATTTATTGCTTCAATTTCTTTAGAATTAGTATATTTAGGCTATTTTTAAATGCTTATTTTAATGAGTTTATTAAACGATTTGATTAGTTAAAAAAATTAATCATGATTATCACTTAAATCAAAAAAACTTAGAGCTGCGACCGCCAATTTTTTTTCATAGAACTGCACTGATTAGTTAAAATTTATCATTAATAGAGTAATTAAAGAGACTGCTTAAACCAAAAATTCTTTTATTTTATTGTTATTATTTTTTTCACAATATGGATCTTTAACAAGACTGTCATTGTTATAAAAAAATATTCTTTTTTTTATACTAAAAACTCTTATAACAAATAAAAAATGTTTAGAAATTAATACTCAAATAATAAACATATATTATTTTGTTTTTAATTATTTTACAATAAATATAACTATTTTATTTACTTTTCTTTATCTAGTACAAGAATGCAAATTCAGTAAAGACCTAAAACCAGAAAGTTTTGGATAAATATTTTCTATATTTAATAGATAAAAAAAGTTATAATTTATTTCAATAACACTTTTGTATTACTTATTCTATTTTTTATACTATTGTTTTCTGTTTAAAAACACATCTATCTTTTATTTTAACTGCTATGAATACAATATTTGTATGAAAGCAAATTGTAATTGTATTGTGGTAATTAGCGAATAGTGCAGGAATACAAGTATTAGAACAGACACTTGGAGTAAACCAAGGGTCTGTAAGCTATTTTACTGACTAATTTCTAAGAACATTATTAGATTTGGAGCAAAAACAAATTTTATGACTATGAGAATCACAGTTAAAAACAGTAATACAAGGGTTTAAACATAGAAAAACTAAATTTGAAAATCACAAGTTATCTAATATTATTGGTGCAATAGATGGGTCTCACATACCTTCTAAAAATAGGTTATATTATATAAATCACAAAAGTTTTTACTCTATTAATCTTTTTGAAGTTGTCAATTATCAAAAGTGTTTTACTTATATATATATTGGAAAAGCAGGCTAGTAATTATTATAATTATTATTTTTTTAACAAAAATATATAGTATTTTATAGTATTTATTAATTTTTTATTACAGGAAGTATATACGATACTCATGTATTCTATTGTTCTTCTCTTTATTAGAAAATTTTTTTATATTTAAAGCAATAGATTTCAGATAATACATATATTATTGTGAATTCAGCATACTCTTTGTGAATATATTTAATAAAAGCTTATTCTAATTATTATATTTTAATATATCATGAATAGCATTTTAATAAAGTTCTTTTGTCTATACAAATGATTATAAAGTAAGAATTGGATATTTGAAAGGAAAATAGTGAAGGAGATTTACTATACTAATATTGAAAGAGTTATAAAAATAATCTACACATGTTGCATTTTATATAACATTTGTATTAATATGGAGAATGAATTGTCTTTAGAAGATATTGATATAAACAAAGAAACAAATAAGCATGAAAATGAATTTGAAGCAATAAACGAAGCCTTATATGCTACTGAAATAGGTTTTCAAAAAAACTCTATTTCGTCTCTATTAGAGCAATTTAGAATTTTTATATACAAAAGCAAATCTAATTTAGATAGTTATGTTTCTTATAATTTTGTTTCTTCAAAAAAAGTATCAAAAAATTTCATCTTTTAAGTAAAATAAATCAAAAACAATTTTGTTTTCAAATTTTAATTTCATATCCCAAAATCTAAAATAATTTTGTTAGCATATATAAATAAAATATAAGAAAAAATAACTGGTATTCAAAAAAAAAATTATTTAACAGATATTCTCATAAACTTATAATAAATTTATTTATTATATTGTATGCATTTTTTTTTTTTTTCGGTCTTAAGGTGACCTCTTTAGTTAGTATTTTGTTTATATTTAACAGATTACTTTTACAGTATCAGTCCTGCATCAACTGTATATATATTTCTATATATATAACCTCAAACTAATATTCATAACTACCTTAGAACAATTTTATTCTCAGGGTAAACCTACTAAAGCCTTCTATTTTCCTTACTATTAATGGCTAATCTAGTTTTTTAATGCTCTTATAAAGTTCACATAGCCACCACAACCAGGACTCCGGTCTATAAGCCGTACTAGGCTTCTGCTACCTCCTTATTTGGGTCTTACCAAACAGGTTTCCATTTTCATTAGTTCTATAGATTTACACAGATACAAGAACTTATCATGGGTCTGTACTGCCTATACCAGCTTGCATTTCTTTGTACAACTCTTCCGTTATACAAATGCTATGCGATCTTCCAAATCTTGACTCGGTTCCTAGTAAACCTTCTGAAATAAGCTATCCCAGATCAGGCACAAACCCAATTTTGGGTAGTGATTATCCCAGCTACTATTTGGTCCAACTATAGTTATAGGATCAGATATCCCAACCTTAAGAAGACAGTTATTATAACACAAATAAAAATTCGAATTTTCGTACCAGTGGGGTTCGAACTCTTGACTTGCCGCTTGGGAGGTGACAACTTGACCACTTCACTAAATCGCTACACTCTATTGTATGCATATTTAAATTTATTATATAACAGTATATCGCATTATTTTCTATTCTAATTGTTATTCTAAAATATATTTTTTTTAGTGTTAAGGTGATCTCTTAGTCAGTTCTCTTTATTCAGTTATTGATTAACTTTACCGTATGCTAAGCCCCTTTCAGTATCCATACAGTATACATATTTAGAGAATATATACTAGCCATATATACAACTTTTGATTGCCTATTTAAGTAGTCCGCTTATTACTAAGTTTTACACTAGATGCTATGTCTGCAACCTGACTAGGGGTTACCTATTTAAACTTTCTGCGCTTTATATAGATTAACCTTTTATATAACTGAATTAGGGTATATTTCTTAAAAACTCTGACTTAAAACTTTAAAGCAAGCTCAACTAGTGAGCTTTTTGTTCTTGAAGTAAACCTGCTAAAGCTTTTTGTACCTACAATCCGGTTAGCCTAGGCTTTAGTAACTTATGTCAAGTCTGTAAACAGCAACTTGTGAGCCAAAGCCACTACTATTACTTACTTCTGCTCTTGTAAAGTTTACTCAAACCCTAGTACCTACTTTACGAACTATCTTTTGTACTTCCCAAATTACCAAACTACTAATCTAGATAGCCTAGAAAGGCTATAACCTGCTCCTGGTTTTCATGGTTGGGTTCTTTTTCTCTGATACTTCTCTAGCAGCCTAGTTGGTGGAGTGCTTTGCCAAACACTCAGTCCTATTCAGTTATCTACTTTCCTAGTAATAATCTTTTATGTAATACCATCAAAGATTTGTGCTACCTCTCTACTTGGGTCTTGCCAAGTAGACATCCAATCTTCCCAGTTCTTTGGGTTTACTATGATTTGAGAATATATTCATATAACTTATATATTATACAAATGCTATATGATCTTCTAATCTTTGTTGGTACTACCAAGATTACAGAGATCCTGTTCTAACTGATCAGCAGAAGATAGTAGTGTCATACAAGTAGGATTTTTGAAATTCATTGCCAGTGGGTTTCGAACCTCCTACCCAGAGATATCACAGGATAGCTTTTGGACAAAGTTTAGACATCTTGAACATTTTTAAATATTAAAATTGCTCAAAATTTTATTAAGACAACCTATTTTAACTTTCTAAGTAAAAATGTTTAAAATTAAATAAAATATATAATTATATTATTTTAAAATAAACCTTTTAATTATCAGTCACAGGACATGTTCATATAATTGCTATTACTTATAAATCAAATAAGTTGACTCACCCCAATTTTATATGTAAATTTATACAAAAAAATTATTTAAATTTAATTTTTGTAAAAATATACATATAAACCTTTCTTTAAACTTTAAATATATATTCTTTAGCATTTAATGATCTTTAGTTTTGAGCCAAAGTTTTTAATCTTTAATAGTTTGTTTTTAAAGTTGGATAATTCTTTACTATGTTCTTTAAGTCAAATAACTGATATACCCTGTGCAATAATATGATTGGTTAAAATAATCTTTTAAAAATTAAAGAAGATTCTACTAAGTAAAGGTTTCTTTTAGCTTTAAGTAAAGTTGTAGAGGAGGTTCTTCTAGTTTTAATGGTGGTTAAATCATTAAAATTAGCTTGGTAGATCCCAAGATACTTAGGGTCAAAAGAAGAAAACATAAGGATTTGCAAATTTACTGTTACACAAAGTATTATAATACAGTGCGGAACACCTTAAACCGGCAAGTCTAAATTTGGGTAGCCAAATTGGGGTTATCTGGGATAGAAGCGAATCATATGATAATTGACCAATCAAATTCAACAACTCTGATGATTAAAAAAAAAAAAAAATTAAAAATTAAAAATGAATTAATATATGTGTACCCTAAGGGTATACTAAAATTTTTTGTATCTGACATAGCACCATGTAACAATATAATGCACCCTGATCACAGGGTATATAAACAGTGATCTTTTTTTTTTTAATTAGTTTTTTTTGTTTTGTTCTAGCCCTGTACTAATATAATTTTTTTTCCAGTCGAATAGAAACTTGGCTCGTCATTTTAGTGCCACTTCTAAATTCGTATTGTTACTTTTTGGTGTTGTCGGTATTGTTGTTTTACTTTTGGTGCTGTTGAAGTCATCGTTTTTAGCATCGTAGACTTGTTGTCTTGCTGCTAGAATGTGTGTTGCTGAATTCGCATCGTCGCTTTTTGGTCCGTAGACTTATTGTCTTGCTGCTAGAATGTGTATTGTTGTTTTGTGGTATCGCTGTTATGATTTTGAGAATTTTTGCGCATTTTGCGTGTCACCATTCTGGGTCTCGTTTTTTTCTCTTGGGTGGTGTCGTTTATATTATTTGTACTAATATTCTTTGATTTGTGAACACGATTTTCCAGGGTTCATACGATCATGAAGCCAACAATGGGCTTATTCAAAAGATGATTATATTTACGAGTTGGGTTGGTTCTTTGGTAAGCAACTTTCATGTTAGTTCTGTTTCTTTCTTCTATTAACACTGTCACTAACTAAATCTTTTTCTTTTAACCACAACCAATTCGGCATATTGAACGGCCAAAAACTCTTATATTGCTTACAGTTGTTATCATTATTCCGAATGACTGTACATGAGTTTTAGTTGATTTATAAGTTAAAACATACGTAAAACATGTAAAATACTAGAAGGCTTTAAATGATTCTATTTACGGTGCAGCAGTGACGATAATAACAGATAACCAAAAAAAAATTAGAAGGGCTAGCAGTTCGAACAATTGCTAATCACTTAGGTGTTAACAGGTCTTCAATAAGTTGAGTTCTTAAACAATTTCAAAAATTTGGGTGTGTTGAAAAACTTCAAAAAACCATGTCTACTAAGCTTGAATAATATAAAATACCTTAAGATTTTAATGGAAGAAAAGCCTAAATGATATTTATATGAGTTACAATCAAAAATGAAGCTTGATTAAGATATGAAAGTAGAGGCTGTTGAAAGCCTTGTAATGTTTTATGTGTTTCGCATATGTTTCAATTCACAAATTGATTAGTAATCACATGCTAAAATCAAACTTGCTGAATCGGCAAGAAAGTCATTCGGCTAACTTTTTTATAAGTTGCCCCAGGAATGATGATATTAATACTATACTCAATATCGGGCCAGGAAACGTGAACTTTTATTTTGTATAGCATTATAGGGTAGTTTAGATGCGCTTTATATAGAATACATTGTATTACTTTTAGTGTAGTTATTTTAAAGTACGATATTCAATTTATTTTAGGCGAAAAGCCTGAATAAGTTTAATAAAATCATTTTTCCTAACAACTTTAATCTATCTAACTATTCTGTCATGTACCGTCGTTCGAGTTACGGATTTTTTATATCTCAGTTATTAATTAAATAAGGGGATCACTAAAGCAAAGGTATCTATGTGATTTTGATATTTTTTAATTAAGGGTTAGTTTTGTGTTAGAGGTTAGGGTAGGTATATAGGTATAATTACCTTCCCACATTTTTTATTAATACTACACAGGTTTAGACTGCTGTTTTTTATATTTTGGGGTACAGCATATACGTGCTTTAATGCATAGCAAAATGGCCAGAATTAAACTAATCGACACAGCATGGCCGGCATTATAGTTAGGTTTAGCATTGGAGTATGCAGAATTAGTCACACATGTGCTGTGTCGGTATATCTTCTCTATATTATCTTCCCTAGTATCGACACCAAACAATGCAGTCACGTGATGACGATAAAATTTTTGAGATTCGTGTTAGTGTTATGTTCCGGTTAGGTGTTAACAGAGGTATAGTAGTAAAATCGCCCAAGGAAATTTTTGCTAGTGCGCTAAAAGTGGGTTTTTCTGTAAATTTTTAAGTTATGAGTGACTTTGGGCAAAATGAACATTTGTTTTGATTTTTCTTGATTATTTAACATTACACCTAATTTTGAAACCTTATTGGTTTATACCACAAAACATACGTAATTACGTTTTTTGGTAATGATACTGGGTTAGTTTCTATTATTATTATATACATGTGACTAGGGTACATGTACCTTAGGGTACATATATATAAATCCTAAAAAAATTTATTTATAAAAATTTTTTAAACCCAATCTAACTAATTTAATTTATTTATAAAAGTATTTTTGGGACCCTATATATTAATTAATCTCTTAAAATAAATAATTACACATATTTAACAATTAAATTTATTGTACTAAGCAACTTTATTTCATTATCAAATATAAATTTCAATTTCCTATTACATTTATATCAAATAAGATTGAATCTGAAATATGGCGATGCGATCGATATTTTTTAACTGCATATTCAGCAGCTTTACAGTTAATCTTTTACGATACGCATCCATATATCTAAAAGATTTTCGCGTATACCTTTTAATTTCACTAAGTGGTACTGATGCTAGAGCTTGTGATTCTGTTTTTTTTAAACCCTCCCAAGTATAGTCACAATAGCTCCGTGAATATCGTTTTGCTGATCCCCAAAAATTTTCAATGTAATTTAACTCACAATGAAATTTTGGATAAAATATAACTTTATGGCCTACCAAAATAATTGCTTCTTTAAGTTTTCCACACTGTGCTTTAAAATCCGGTTGGTTTGCCATTGCTGTTCTTGCACAACAATTAATGCTTCTTTCTTTACATCCACCTTTACACTTCAACTTCATTCCATCACGCCACAATTTTCTTTCTTTTAAAATTTCTCTTAAACCTTTTGGTTCTCTGCACAATTCAGGGATCTTGTAATCCATAGGGAAGCACATATCTTGTCTAATATTATTTCCATACGTGGTGCTTCTGCATATTTGTATACAAAACATAAATATAGTAAAAAATTTAATGAATTTAACATAAATAAACATAAAAATATACCTCACGCGAGGTAATCTAGCATATATTCATACACTACATACAAACTACATGAAGTGTGTGAAAATATATACGAGATTTACACCGCATGAGATGTATTTA